TATAAGATTAAGTATACAGAATACATTTATGTAAAACACAGGTTAAAAACATGTATAAAAGTAACATTTAAAAGGTATGTGGTAATTTGTTCCAAAGTAGAGGGGGGGGGGGGGCGTATACATAATATGAACGGCGGTCACCAAATGAACTTAAATTTGCATAACGTGCAACAAGATAACTTGGATCAGAAGACAGAGTTTGTTGAGACATTTGTATGTAAGAAGCAGAATTTTAAACTTAATTCTAAATTGAATCGGTAACCAGTGGAAGTCGTACAATATTGGAGTAATATGAGAGGACTGTTTTGTTAGCCTAGCTGCACAATTTTGGAGTTTATAAATTACTGTAAGATGAAGTCTAGATAATAAGGGCTTAAAATTGTCTAGTCTAGAGGTGACAGATGAATTAATTAGAGTTTTTGTTGCATCATTATTAATGTATTGTCTTATTTGACCGATTTTCTTTAAATAATAGTAATACACTTTACAAATATTATTTACTTGTGCTTCTATATTCATATTTTGGTCGAATATAACGCCTTTGTTTCTAGCTACTTTAGAGGACATAATTTGACAATCCCCGACAAAAATATTAGTATCTGAAATCTTGTGTAACTGCTGTTTAGATCCAATACATAAATATTCAGTTTTGACAGAATTAAGCTTTAGAAAGTTCGATGCCATCTATGATTTAATTTCTAACATACAATTTTCTTTCGTGGGAACAAAGTTATTATTTAAAGGTTAAAAAGAACGATACAGCTGTGTATCATTCGCATACAAGGGGAATCGAGGGCCATATTTCCTTGCAATAGAACCAAGGGGTTTTGTATACAGACTAAAAAGTATTGGTCCTAGGACAGAACCCTGTGGTACTCCTTGAATTATTTCAGCCTTGTCAGACATGACCTCATGTATGACTACATATTGGCTGTGATTTCTTAGATATCATTTAAGCAACTTCAAGGCAGAATCGACTATGCCAAATTCCGTAGAGAGTCGATTTAATAAAATTTTGTGATCGCCTGTACCAAACGCTGCTGAAAGACCAGAATAACTAAAAGAACAAAATCGCGTTGTACAATGAGAGCAGTATGTCGTTATGAACTCTTGTAAGTGCTGTTTCAGTACTGTGACACTTTCCTCAACATCTGCTGTTAATCGACAAGCAATGCATTTTTCTAAAATCTTGGAGATGAAACAAAGGTTGGATATTGGTCTATAATTTTTTTAATTGATCAGGATCAAGATTTGTCTTCTTAATAAGAGGATGTATATAAGCAGTTTTAAAGGTATCTGGGAAGATGGACTGTGCTATTGATGAGTTGATTATTGAAGTTATAGAAGGCAGTCATTCACTAAAACAGCTAATTACTAAGTGTGGTGGAAAGGGGTCCATGGAACACGTTTTTGGAGCTGATAAGTTTATGATCTTTGCAACGGTATCTTCATTTATTGGTTTAAAAGAAAACAGACGACAACTGGTTAACACAGGCAGTGTCAGGGCACTGTGTCGTGGTAGCTATTTTATTCATAAAGAAATGAGAAAATTCATTTGCTAACGTGTGTTTACATTCATAGTTGGGGAGAATTGACCTATTAGAATTACTGTCTGTTAGTTAACAATAGAAAACAATTCCTTTTGTTTGTTACTGGCTGTGTCGATCATGTACGAGTAGAATTCCGTTTTTGCTTGTATTTTTTAATTTATTAACATGATTTTTGTAAAATAATTTATTGTATTTCAAGTTTAGTATCTATCTATACAAAGCTGTGTATATACAGTACAATAAACCTAAATTTTTCGCCGACAATAAACAAACAATCCTCCTAGATGATGGAGTTTTCTTGTTAATACTGTAACCAATGAAATACAAGAACTAACTCCTACTATATAATCACAAGGAAAACATGGCTACCGTTGGCAACAAGATGGATAAAATAAATGTGAGTGACCGATGGAAAGGTTCACAAGGAAAAGGAGATATACATAGAGAGAGAAATGGGGTTTAACGTCCACTCGACACAAACTAGGTAATTTCGGGACAAACACATGGTTTAATTTTATTTCAATAATTCGCTTGCGCGTAGGGGGTCTTTAGCAGTGGGAGGAAACCGGAGGACCCAGAGAAAACCCACGAGGTTGGACAGGCGACCCTACTCCTTGTCACGTACAACCGGGGGATTCGAAACCACGCCATTTGACTCAATGATACAGCGCGCACTAAGCCTAAAGGTGAATTTAGCAAGTTTACATTTTTATTGAAAGTGTGATTACTTTCGATCATTTTCAGCTTATTTTCATGATACAAGAATGACCGCGCATTCACTTTCAGTGCAAATGAACCCATTTGACCTTTGACCCCGAATATCTCGAAAACGCCCCAACGGCGGACTGATTACCACTCGGCATCGTATTCTACGCAAAATTTTACTCTAGAAAAGTTGGGTCTGGTTTTGTGCCCATTTGATGGACACCCCCCCCCCCCCCCCGCGCTGAGCCTCCGGTCTATAATCATGTTTATTGGAAATCCAGCGTTGGTGGAGAAGAATCGCGATGTTCGGCAACTTGGTTTGACAAAAAGACTCCATAGCGATGACATTTTTTAAAAATAAAATGGTAGTCATAGGCTACATAAAATAACTGTTGAGTAATGAAAAAAACGAGAGAAAATATAATATATAAAAATACAAAATTAAATATGTGTATTAACAATACACTGTCGGTCTGTTGGGACTGATCTTTAGCTGCATGTGAAAAATTCCCTTCCAGTACATAGCACACCTAACCATAGAAATATATATTACCAAGTGCTCAGACACCATGGGGACCCTACGGGAAACCTTCTTATTGACGATTTTAATGGTGTATCGAGCAGTAAAATAGATCTTGAGATCGTTGAAAGTAAATTTAAAGTAGCTAAGTCTCTAACTCAGTATCATCCAAAATCTTCAACATTGAAAACACGATTTATTTGTCAAATTAAATCAACATTCATGTTGTGATCATACCGGAAAAAGATGGGCTTTTGATATCCAATATTTAAGACAAAATAAACATTTTACCATTGGTATATGAATCGTGTACCATAATGCGCTTCAACCCCAGTTGTATCAAGAGACTCGAGGGACGAGGCTAGACACATTGCACCAAATCATACGGCGTATGTAGACTGAAATAACCAGAGGCTAGAAATTTGCACTCATTTGAGACTGCTGACTTATTTCGCAGAACATAACTGATTTGAAATTGGAGTAAAAAAGGGAAACCATTGAATATATATCAGTTTATATACATTCATATTACAGTATTATATGCGTTGCGACCCATATGTTAGCGATTTAGTTAAAGGAGCTAAAGCCCTAATATTTGGGACCTAGAAATTAACACAAATGGGTCACAAGGGATATAATATTGTAATATGAATGTATACAGACTGAATTACATTCATTCCTATGTCTAGCCTCGTTCTAAGAATCCCTTGTCACAAAAGGCGCTGAAACGCATTAGGTACATGTACATGATTCGGGTACCAATGGTAAAATTTTCAATTTGTCTAAAATATTGAAAATCAGAGCCCATCTTTTCCCGGTAAGATCACAACATCAATGATGATTTAAATCGACAAATAGTTCATGTTTTCAATGTCAAGGACTTTGGATGATTTTGAGTCAGAGACTTGGCTACTTTAATAAACCAGAGGGGGGGGGGGTTGGTTGGATGGCCGAATGGTTAGCGCTGTATCATAAGGTCTGTCACTGAGTCAACTTGCATGGTTTCGATTCCCCGGTTGTCCAACCTCGTGGGTTTTCTCTGGGTGCTCCAGTTTCCTCCCACTGCTAAAGACCCCTATGCACAAGTCAATTATTGAAATAACAATTGAACCATATGTTAGTCCAGAAATGACTAATTTGTGTCGAGTGGACATTAAACCCCATTTCTCTGTCTCTCTCTCTCCCCCCACTTTAATAGACCTGCCCTCGGTCTATATTTTCACACTATGTAACACTGTTGGATGATTAAAGACGACATCACAGTTGTTTATATTGATCTGACTGTTGACATTATACATAATTCATTTAAAACAATATACGTACAGCCATTTTATAAACAGCAACCATTAAAGAGACACACAACGTTCTCTCGTGAACTGTAGACTATTGACCAAAATCTCAAGACTATTCTAATTTGTAACGGTAATTGTATGTCAGCAGTGAAATGAAATGGGGTTTAATGTCCTAATTTTCGGCTCCGACTGGGATAAGACAGTGTGCTATGAGGGAAAATTTTACCCGGGCAGCGGCGAATGGTTACATCATAAGGTCTGTCATTGAGTCATGGCGTGGTTTTGATTCCCCAGATGTATGCGACAAGGAGTAGGGTCGCCTATCCAACCTCTTTGGTTTTCTCCGAATCCCCCAGTTTCCTCCCACAGCTAAAGACCCCTATCCAAGAGAATAATTGAAATAAAATTGAACCATATGTTAGTCCTGAAATGACCCAGTTTATGTCGAGTGGACCTTGAACCCTATTTCTCTCTCTCGCTCCCTATTTCTATCACACAGCCTCTTAGAGTCACCGGACTCCTTATTTTAAACGACTGACAGAGCCTCGTATCGTAAAGGGTTGTCAGAGTCTCTTATAATATTGTGAAAGACACACAGAGCATTTTATGATCACAATCACAAAGTCAGAGCCCATTGTCATAGTCAACCGTTACAGCGCCTGTTGTTGTGACCTTATGATAGAGCAACAGAGCCTCTTGTTGCGATAAAGAGCAACAGAACCTCTTGTTGCGATAAAAGAGCCACAAAGCCTTATGTTGTGATAACAGGGCTTTTTCTTTTGAGCCACAGGATCAGTTGAGAGGGATTTTTTGTAATGAAAGGTACTCTTGAGTTTTTGTTAATGCCACATATATATAGAGAGAGAGATAGAGAGATGGGGTTTAACATCCACTCTACACAAACTAGGTCATTTTGGAACTAACATGATTCAATTTTATTTCAATAATTGGCTTGCGCGTAGGGGTCTTTAGCAGAGGGTTTGAAACCGGAAATAGTAGCTGTCATCACTGTCTATTTTATAGTATAAACACAAGTACCTGTCATCAGCTACCAATCAAACATCTTTAATTTCATTATTTTTAAATATGGTTTAAAACTCTTATTTTAAAGAATAGAAACGTAATATTTATTATCGTGTTTTAAGGTCTCGTTTACGGATATATTGCGTTCCCTGATCATATCGGCCAACTTGTCCATCTCTAATACTTATATCGTTTACATCTCGTTTTCTGAAATAATAAAACAATATCTGGTTTCAGTTTAATATAAAATCAAATCTTAAAGATCAATATTGGTGTCAGTCATTATCACATATGTTTGGCTGTTATAGAGGATATCTGGTAATTCAAAAAAGTAATTGAATGTCACTAGATAAGGGAAAACGAGAATAATAGAAATAGCCCATACATTCCCTTGTTTATATTCATTCTATACCTTATAAAAACATGGTAATGCACAGACTTTTTCTATTTTTCTTTCGTGTTCTCTTATCTAGTGATATTCAATTACTTTTATGAATTGTCAGATATCCTCTCACAGCCTCACACAACAACTTTTGGTCTTCGAGGGAATTATTATTGAGCAGAAATTCTCCCGTGTATCACTCGTCACTTCAGTCAGTTATATAGAGTGATAACTCATGTTTTCCTTTTGTGAAATCTTCATAATGCATCTATCGTAGCAATGATCCAAGAATTTACTTAGGCTTCAATATGTATGGCAAATGGACAGTAACGACAATTACATTCTGAAAATGTTACATGACAATAAACAATTTGTTGATTTCATCTGCAGATCAAGATCTGTTCTAATGACGATCATATAATCATTCAACGTTATTCACTAATTAATCCCTTATCATTGACCAATGTGCACGAAAAAAGGGAAACTATTGTATTAGGCCCATGTTAATATTGTATTGTGAGTTAGCAAAAACTGCTACATGAGAGACAAGCTAATTTTTCTTGCAAACCCCTGGTTAGAAATTGATAATTCTTCATCATAATGTACAGTAGGATGTCAAGAATACAACAAAAGCTTAAATTTCTTTTCATACTCCCCCTTTAATATTATGTTTTAATTATACAGTCACATGACACTCCTTATTTCCATATAGTATCTCAGAAAGTATTATCCAGGCCCGTAGAGAGGGGCGGGGCATGTGGGGCACGTTGGTCGATGGCTTCGTATTGCGTCCAATGGAAAGGGCGCCAAAGGCACCCATTCTGGAAACCGATTCTTTCCCCAATGGGCCAAGGCTCCATTGGGTGCGCCAATTTTTTTTACAGGGAAGGTAGCTCCCCCTCTTGCTCCTGCCTCCCCCCCCCCCCCCCAGCTAGCTACGGGCCTGTTATCATCTTGATATTAAATTACTTTTTCACAGTTAAGTCAATTTACCTCCTCCTATCTTCCAGTAATCCTTCAATTTATTGAATGTAAACAGACCGAAGAATGAAACTCGGAACCAGTCAAATATCACGACCGGCAAATATTAGCCAAACAAGAGCGTTATAGGTATAGTTTCTATACAGAAGAACATCAATAGTTATTCAAACTTTTACTTACTCTTTTTTGTGTGAACCTTTGTTAACTCTAAAACCAAGCTTTCGATCCTGGAACACAAGAATTATTAAAACCTACTTATTGTTTTCTTTATCAATAAAAAGTTACAGTTTTACGTCTTGAAATGTTTTTTTTTCCTGACATTTACATATAAAACAATGTGTGCATTTCATGTTTAATCAGGAACTTCACAAATAAAAATAAGGAATGCATAATAATTTATATCGATGTCTGGATTCTGTTCCAAAAGGGAAATATGAAATTCACAAGCAAGAAAGCATGAGCTGCCCCTGCCTAGTCTCGGTCACCCAGAACTTGCTAGTCTGGGACCGTTGTCAATATTTGACAAAAAGTTCCATTGCCCGTGCGTAACCAGGAGTTTGGTTTTTTAAGTGGTTGATTATCCAGTATCTTCGGCCAAGTCAAGTAAGAGTTGCACCCCTTCCAGGAATAAATCCCATAATTCTTGCATTATTATAAAGAAACATGTACCGTGACGACGAATTAGGATTAATTAAAAAACATAGATATGGCCCATGAAGAGAGAAATTTTACAATAAAAAAAATTAAGAGTGTTGGATATTGAACTGGCATACGATCACACAGATTTTCTGAAATGGCATTCTTAAATTAATTTCATGGGCGTCAACATCTTGTTTTAGGACTAGTTACCTCCCTTAGACTTTGTTTATGATAATGTAAAAGACCGGATAATCTAGGCAATGACCTATTATTCTCAAATGTTGACAACGCATCCAGATTAATCTTCGTAGAATATTTTTCTGGATGATCGAGACTACCCCTTGTCTGACAACTACTACCAGTTCCCAAGAGCAGTAATAAGACAATCCAGTATAAATGGTATTTCCATATCATGGGTTCTCTCCCCTACAAGTCTACCCATCCAAAAACAGACAAAACAAGTTCCTCCTCACCATTTCTTTCTTTTCTTTATCTTTAATAATTTCATCTTTTCTTTGTTTCTGAAATTCTTTATAATTTACATATTTTTTCTTGGGTGGCTGAAAAACAAAAACATGTTATTATTAACGATACATTAGTTAGGAGCTAAATCTGCCTATCGCAAGTCTTTATTTAAGCTTCAGATGTTATAGAAATTATTAATTAGACCTTTATTTACATAACAAGCTCAAAATCAATTTTGTAGACCCTCAGATGACTTGGATACAGCTTGGATTTAAACAGTCGTCCGTTTAATAATTAAATCAATAAATGGCTGACCGCTACCAGAGACTGCCGATGAAAGGCCTGGCAATCGAGGGTACCATTGCCACTGATAGTGTTACTTGATAATCTAGAATATGTGGGTGGAGTTATCGTCTGTCAATCAAACGATCAGCAATTCTCGGAAACAGTTTATGCCTATTTCTTGTCCAAACTTTTGACAGTGACAACTCAATTCAGACTTTAAAATAAAGTAATTTGACTAAAATTTTCAATATTTTCTTTTTTTATCACCTATTTTTGAATTATTATATCAAGAATGGCCAACTCTTTATTAAACTCTTAGCTAATGTTTTGCCATTTTAAAAATGTTTTGTTGTATGTTTACTTTTCTTCACTGAAACAACTATACCTTTTGAAATAGATTTGTCGTTAACAAGGCTCTCGTTACAGTCTCGATGCACCCTTTTATGCAAAAGGGGAGAGAGAGAGAGATAGAAATGGCGTTTAACGTCCACTCAACACAAACTAGGTCATTTCGGGACTAACATATGTTTCAATTTTATTTCAATAATTCGCTTGCACGTAGGGGTCTTTAGCAGTAGGAGGAAACCAGAGGACCAGGAGAAAACCCACGAGGTTGAACAGACGACCATACTCCTTGTCACGTACAACCATGGAATCGAAACCACTTGAAACAATCTTAAGGCCAAGGGATTTTTACGTGTACGCCAATGTATCCGAACGACTAGACAAGAAACAATCTAAGGCCAAACAATTTTAAAGGATGCAGGGGGATTGGATGGCTGAATGGTTAGCAAGTGTGCGTTGTATCATAAAGTCTGTCATTGAGTCAACGTGGTTTCAATTCCCCGGTTGTACGTGACAAGGAGTAGGGTCACCTGTCCAACCTTGTGGGTTTTCTCTGGGTCCTCCGGTTTCCTCAAACTGCTAAAGACCCCTACGCGCAAGCGAATTATTGAAATAAAATTGAACCATATGTTAGTCCCAAAATGACCTAGTTTGTGTCTAGTGGACGTTAAACCCCATTTCTCTCTCTCTCTTGAAGGATGTAATAAAACTGTGGTTGTTTAATGATTATAAAGCCTGGGTATGTTCAATTAGTGATAAGCTTTTTCTCGAGAGTGAGTTACGAGAGCATATACGATTTCAGTTTTACCAATAAAGATTAGAGATAAATTTCCACACTTTTTACTAAGTAAATCCATATTAATGATTGGATTTTGGAATGGTAGTCAAACAAGTTCCGGCAAATGAATTGAAAAGGTGGTTATTTAGTCGTCAATATTTTTCTAATGCAGCATCTATGTTCACGTCGTCAATATTCTTTTTACACGGCATTGATGTATGAATAAAATAAACATGAAAAACCTGCCTCACAGCACTTGCTAGTGTTTACTCTCAATTCGATTGCCCCGTCATTAGAATTATTAATAATAAAAGATGAAGGAAATCGTTACTCAGTATTAGACCGATCAATGGCGGTTGGAAGTTTATTGATAGAATTCCTTATTTAGTGTTTATTTTGACTTTATGATCGTAGTGGGTCAGAATATAAAGAACTGAACAATATATTTAATGTATAGCTAATAAAAAGACAATCAAGATACAAAAATCAAAGCTTACATTTTGATAACAGAGACTTAAAATCTTGGTTGTCCAGTTAAAATTACTTATAATAAAAGCAGGAAAAGGAATTAAACAAATTCATGTCTAAAGGTAGTTAAATGTCTCACAGATACGAGAGAAAGAGAGAGAGAGGGGGACAGAGAGAGAGAGAGTGAGAGAGAGAGAGAGGGACAGAGAGAGAGAGAGAGAGAGAGAGAGAGAGAGAGAGAGAGAGAGAGGGGGACAGAGAGGGGGACAGAGAGAGAGAGAGAGATGGGGTTTAATGTCCACTGGACTCAAACTAGGCCAGTTGACCCAATGACAGACCTAATGATGCAGCGCACACATGCTAACCATTCGGCTATCCAACCCCGCGTCTCCTTCAAAAGTGATGTTTTATATTTCCTTGTACACCATTCTCTCACAAAGATACATAAACTATCAAAGATAGGTTGCCAGGCAACAAAACATATGCCCACAGCCAATAAATTGTCCGAGCGGTCGACAATAGATAAAAATAGGTGAACCTTGCTATTTTTCATATTTAATTCCCGTACGGTATCAAATTTATGTCAGTAACATTCGTTCAAAATAACTCAAATAACATTGAATGAAAGCTTGCCGATCCTGCTTCAGCATCTTATTCGCTATAGTAGGCCTAATATTCCTGCAAAATTACATGTCTTCATTTATACGGCAGCAAATGAATGCAGAACTTCCAGAATAAGAATCGTTTTCTTCTTTATAAAATGTCAACAAAATATTCAAATCCGCATATATTAAAAATAGGAACACCTCGCTATTTTTTATATTTAATTCCCGTATAGTATTAAAAATTAGAATGAAAGCTTGCCAATCTGTACCTACTTGTAACAAGGCATAGCTTCCTTCAGCGTATGGCGTACATGTACGTGACTCATAGCACATAGCTTTATCATAAGCATTGCCTTGTAAGCGATTTTCGTGCAGCAATCGAGATCGCGGGAAAGTGACACTGTGGATGAAAATTCCTATATGGAGTCTTAAAAGATATCGCAGACAAAATGACTGTCCATTGATTTGGGGTGTTATATACTCTTACGATATGTGACATCTAAGACTACTTTATACATGCTGTCGGTTGGTACATGCTGTGATTAAAATGTCCGACAAGTCAATGTAGAAACCACAAGGTAAACACATAGATTAAAATTATAATCACTCTTATTGGATTGATGAATAGTCCAACAAAGGGGAAGCAATCACTTTTGTTTAAGATTACATTGATAAATTGTCCGATAAAAGATTAAGTCAGTCAATCATCGCAGATTAAGTTGTTAATCAAGATAGGTATATAGGCAGTATGACACGATAAATACGTTGATCACTTAATTACCGAATCAATCCAGCATATTATTAATGATAATCGGGTTGAGTGGTAGTTATACACTCAGTACACTATATTAATTTTGGAATTTTGTATATTATTCACCATATCTTGATGTTCGATTGGGCATATTCCTGGTCGGACAATTTTGGACGTTTGGTAAATAGCATCAGACATGTTCGGAATATACGGGCGAAATCCCATCACTGGTTGTTGCATATTTAGTCTTTTGTAGGTAATTGGGGGGCATTTACAAGTCAATTTCACACTGCTCAGGTTATAATTTTCGTCATTTGAGGGTTCACAAGGTACTACAAACTGAAACAAGGGCCATAACTCTAGAAGTAATTGACAGAAATTTCTGAAATTCAATAGGATTTGTCGTTTCACTAATTCAACTGAAGCATACAAATTTCATACATATCTGATGCCAACTTTTGTCATTCAAGCGTTCACAAGGTTCAACCAAGTGAAACAAGGGCCATAATTATTGAAATTCAATAGGCGTCTTCATCTCACTGATGTCTCTGTCTAATTTATCCATTCCAATAAAGTTGGAAGATGGGAACCTTTCATTTTAAAACAAATTAGATGGTATTGAATAGCACGCAACATAGCTGGTCTCCATAGCAGCGTGGTGGCGAATTTCTCCCCGATTAACAAGACTGAAACTTATATGGTCATTTTAAGTTTGTTCTAGAGCTCAATCTGCCTATTGCAGATCTTTTGTTTGGCCTCAATTAATGTTATATAAATTATTAATTAGATATTTATTCACCTGACAAGCCTTTAATCAACTCTCTAGATCATCGGATGGTTGTGATTTTAAACAGATTGAAACACGATCGCCATTTAATAATTGAATGGATAATCAAGGCTTGGTTTATTATCATACCAATGGTAGTAATGAAAATCGAGATTACGCTCTCCTTCAAATATTCATAACTTCGCTGAGAATGAAACAATGTGACTCAAAATTTTTAATATATTCATTTTTCATTATCTATTTTTAAACTGTTTAAGAGAACTGTCAGCTCCTTTATATAATCTTACATAATGTATCTTTAACTATGAATAATTCCATCAATTTCATTTTTTATTTATTTATTTATACTTCAAGTAAAAGTTACAACATGACAACAGACAATATAGATCTGTATATGATCTATGTGCTGTATTGTATGATTGGGAAAGTGACAACAATAGAGCTACATGTATCAAAGGTCTGTAACTCTACAACTATATGTAATTATCACAAATAGTTGATACTAGGAGAATGCCCGGCTTCGCTCGGGGGTCATAACCCCGAAACCGGAAGTGGTAGACTAACGCCCCCTGGCCTATGTTACTCCCCGGTCGGAGCTACCCCTATACCCCGAACAGCCCGGGGGTCATAACCCGAAACCAGAAGTGGTAGACTAACGCCCCCTGGCCTATGTTACTCCCCAGTCGGAGCTACCCCAATGCCCCAAATTTTAGACTCAGGGCAGACCTAGTGTAGCCGCCAACCCCGAACAGCCCGGGGGTCATAACCCCGAAACCAGAAGTGGTAGACTAATGCCACCTGGCCTATGTTACTCCCCGGTCCGAGCTACCCCTATACCCCAAATTTCAGACTCGGGGCAGACCTAGTGTAGCCGCCAACCCCGAACCTACAGACAAACAGACAGACAAACGACAGTCACAAATTTTAGTACAGATTTGATAGGCTTGGCTGGGCAAAAGTCTTATGCTAGACTCCCACTAATACAATTCGTGCAGCGATTGAAATCGTGGTTTTAATCGTGGAATAATCGTAGTGATCCTTTCAGGTCTTATCACATAATGAGGTCAGTCGAAGCAATCGTGTTAATCGTTTCGAAACGCATTGGAACATATCAGTATGTAGCAGATTGTGGAATCGATAGAGACAATCCTATCGTAACGCATCGCACAACAGTTGGAACCTAGCATTGATTCTTTCCTTTCCATCATCCTGGCACTGCACATATAACCATAGAAATAAAGATAGGTTGCCAGGCAAGGAAACATACGCCCAAAGCAGCTAAATGATCCGAGCAGTCAACAAGAGTTATCACATATTTTTACTTTTTTCGGTAATGAAACATTTATAATACATTAAAATCTGATTAAGAGTAACAACTCATTAAGTAATTATCAGAAAATCATTAGAATTTCTTTGGTTTTTATAAAGTTCTGCCCCATGCTAAAGTTTAGTATACGAAACATTTAATATCATGGATTTAGCTGTTCAAGTTATCAAAATTCACTGAAAATCAATAAACTTGTTCGTCTCATGACTTTGTATCAATCTCAAGTCAATCGGATATTAACTTTAGCCTCTAGAGCATCCACAAGATTTTTCAAAGTGATCAAGGGCCATAACTCTGGCAGTAATTATCGGAAATCGCTGGAAATCAATAGGCTTCTTCGTGTCATCCCCTTAAACACTGTATAAATTTAAAGTCAATCGGATATTAACATTAGCCTCTAGAGCTAATATATGACGACAATATATGACCACATTACAATGTGGGCGTATAAAAATCCCCATATAACCAAAGTATTGTAAAGACCAGTCATTAAACCCTATTTCATCGATATTGCAGAGGGTTTTTTAATTCTTTTAACAGAAACTTACCTTAGCACCCAGACTAACTAGTAGATCTACCATAGACCTTTCTTGCTTCGTTTCTTCAAAACCAGTTATTCCTAATTTACGAACTTCAAATTTTGCTGAATCCATGTCAAAAATAGGATTTTCTGAAGTGGATGGTTGTTCTATAACTTCTTCTATTTCTTTCACAGGTTTCTGAAACATTAAACACAGATTCTGATTATACAAGAGGTAAATCTGCCTATTGCAGGTCTTTCTTTAGGCCTGAAATGTTATATAAACTATTAATTAGATATTTATTAACATGAAAAGACCTTAATCAAGTCTCGATGCCATCTTATGTGTCAGATTTTCACTTGATTTGAATTCGATCTGCTGCTCAATGCTCATTGATGATTAAATCCAAAAATGGATAATCAAGGCTATGTTATTTATCGTACCGACTTTAGTAATGATGGCCTAAAACTCAATCGCTAATATCTCAGTTCAGAGTGAAGCAATTTGACTGAAATTTTTAGTATATTTCCTTTACATTATCTAGTTTTTAACTATTATAGTGAGAACTGGCAGTTCTTTATCTAATCTCCCATAATGCCCCTTTAATTTATTAAATCAGAAATGGTGGTTTCGATTCCCCGCTTGTACGTAACAAGGAGTAGGGTCGCCTGTCCAACCTCGAGTGTTTTCTTCGGGTGCTCCAGTTTCCTCCCACTGCTAAAGGCCGTTACGCTCATGCGAATTGTTGAAATAAAATTGAACCATATGTTAATCCCAAAATGACATAGTTTGTGTCAAGTGGACGTTAAACCCCATCTCTCTCTCTTGCTCGACAATCACTCACCTTTTTCTTCGTTTTGCGCGGATCTCGAAAAACATAAACTTCTTTTTCTTCCCGTTTATTCTTAGATTTTTTTGTTTTAGTTTTAGATGAAAGTTCATCTCTATCCACAATTTCACGACTTTGAAATGTTTGAATATTATCTTCTTCGCTAATATCATCATTTGTAATTCTTGTTCGTTTTTCATTAAGTCCAAACATTTCTACAATATCTCCAACAGCGGAATGTTTTTTAGAACTTGATTCATCTTCGTTCTCTAGTGGATTATTTTCTTCCAGTTTCCTTTTTCGTCTTTCTTTTCTTTTTCTATTCTTACTTTGTCTTGCGTGATTCTCTTCAGACTGTGTTTCATTTCTTTCTTCTTGTGTTTTTGGTTTCAATAATTTTCGGTTCTTTGTCTTTTTATTACCAATTATACCTTCACCTAAAACAAATGAATACGGTAACGGTAATTGCATTCCTCACAAAATCAGCATAGTACTAAACTCAATATAAACAAGCTGACTTCCAGTTAATCTTTCCAAATCTGATAGGATGCTCATCCAAAGGGAATTCCCCACAACCAAGTCGGTAAGAAGTACGGTACTTGTACTCGAGACAGTGAAGAACAGAACAATCTAGGTGTCCCTAGATATACAAACAATCAAACAGCACACCACATAAAACCCTTTAAAATTTGTTTCATGAATACTAATAGGTTTATGAAGAACACATATTCATTGAGATAAAGTACATATGATTATATTGAAATGAAAGTACAACAAACATAATCAAATAACATAACTTGTTGTAGGATGCTCCTGTCGGGAATCGAAAATAAATTACTTTAAAGTGCCTCAGATCAGTCGAACTGACTGAATTTTTTAAGCTTTCTTGAAGATGATTATCATAATTTCTTTATTTAGACCTAAATTTAAACATGGACATTTGAACATGGGAGGCCTGGTCTGTGGTTATTCAGGGAGTAACACAAATTTGTGGCTTCGTTAATAATTCGTCAGTGATGCAGGACAGACGGCCTGGTAAAGACAGCACCTCGTTGTTGGGATGGGACGAAAAAACGAGGTCCCGTGTACAGTGGCTTGCATATAAAAGAACCCTTGCCAGTTGGAATTCAAATGCTATTAGGGCAAAATTACCCTCATAGCACACTGTATGTCTGTATTCATAAGGTTATCAATGATTAAGTTTAAGTTAAGAAAAGTTGGGGTTATTCGTTAATCACCATATTTTGTATCATTCAGGTTTATCTAATATAATTAACAAACTATTTACTAAATTCATGTAATTTCTTTAGAATTTCCTCCTCTTTATTAGGCCCCATTGTATAGAACTATCGTTTTTTATAAGTAAACTTGAATCTTGTTCTCTCTGATATTGTGTATGTAAACAAACCCATGTGTTTGGTGAAATTAATGTTACGGACTAGGATTTTGCGAAAAGAATTTAAGATGAAAAATATTAAAAAGTCTCTCTTTTTAGAACAAAATTATCTGTAAAATGTAGAATCATTAATAATTTAGATCTAATAACAATTATTAATCTTTCTAAGGAAATAATACTTTATATAGATGTTAAAATTTCTTTTCCTTTCCAGAAATATGATACTATTTTTGGATGCAACCAAGATGTCAGCCTCCATAAGAATAATATTCAGCTAAATATAAATAACATAAAATGAGATTTAGATGGGCATCAGATGCTTATCGTCGATTAAATGGCGTATTCTGTATTTATAAGCCCTCGGAATTACCGATATCCAAAGTTATCGAAAAGATACAATGGAATTTAGCCAGAGGTATGGTTGACCTTCTTAAAAACGTCGAGTCTATTTGAACTAGCCTAAACACGGAGGGTAGGGTTGAGAGATGAGATTTCTTATCTAGACCCTTCTAAGAATGTTTCTTCATATTTTTATGAGATTTTAAAAATGTTGTTAGTGGTTATATGACCGTGTCACAGTTTCATTTTCATTTTTACTATTTAGTTTAGAACAATATTCCAAGTTACTATGAGGGTAGCGCATCATATCGGTCTCAACACAGACGACCTTTCGGACTCAGTCTGACGATGGTTTTACGTGAGTCCGAATAATCAACTCAACACACGGCCGCCCTTATCGCTGATTGACAACTCACGTTTTTCCTTGTCCACTAAAGAACTGTAAGGTTTCTTTGCACATACTACAATAACATACATGTAGGGATTACCGGTTGATCAGCTTTTATTACCCACTTTGATCGTTGCCATTACTAATATTTTCCAAAAAGAGTTTTCTTTGTACGCACTGATTCATCGATTGGTAGTGTACTGCTATCTATGGCAAGCTTGTCGAGGAATGCGTGTCAACGTGTAGCTTCCGGATTTTCGTTAAAACATTCTAGGGGCTTTTAAAAGCAGTGCATGTCGAGTAAATATTTACTTTTGTTTTTTGTGTAGGTCATTTTGAAATAAATTCTACAGCATATTATTCTTTTTTAAATAAATAAATTACTTTTACGGGAAACGGTGACAGTTGTGTTCAGCCTTTCCTTTCAACTTATTCCCGAGTCCGAAACGTCACCAGTCCGAGTCCGAAATGTCACCTCCCCAAGACCGAAACGTTGAGGCCATATTATTTTGAGTCTGAAATGTTGTAAGTCCGAAATGACACGGGACCGAAATGACATGTAATCTATATGAGTACTGTGACTGTCTTGGATATTGCGGTACCTTATCTCTTTTTACTTATAGAATATTGAACATGTTTGCAGTGGTAGTCCAATACGTGATATAGACTTCAGATTAGACCTAATCCCACTTAACACTGCTATAAAGGAAGCAAATTTCTGTTCCAAATTATGACTGGTCAATAGTCCGATTAACAACCAATAGCTAACTGCGTAACAGTATCATTACACTTTAAACAGGGCTCCAAATTGGACCAAATACATCATGACTCCTGATTTTATTATGCCCAATTAACCAGTACATCGCAGAATATTGCGGACAAACGAGGCTATCAAAACAAATGCAATGTAAACAATACAGTTTGGAGACGAACAATAATTTCACCGTTTTTAATATCTTAAATCACTGTCCAAAGTTTTAGGGAAGACCCCAGATTACACGAAGGGGTGTCATGTTGCTGTACTTGGGATAGATTTGATTGAACAGGAAGAATAGACACACTTTCTCAAATGCTCAAGTACCGATATCAGAAGCCAATCCAGCAATGGCCAGAGAGGGATTTCTCAGGCCATTGCTTGAGAAATATGGGGCGGGAGGGGGGGGGGACGCTGGCTCGCTAGCCTGGAAGTGACATGTTTGATCCCTGCATTGGCCGAGAAAGTTCATAGGGATTTTCTAACGAGGTTTCATCTTGTCAGTGGTGCAGGATGGAGGGCCTGACACGGACAGCTGTCTAGTCGTTCGGATGGGATGAAAAACCAAGGTCCCGTGTGCACATAAAAGATCCCTGGGCAGTACATATTAGCATGGATTAAGTGGTGAGAAATTGGATATTTTAGCCAAAAATTCAAATAGCACATCAGGATTTTAAATCTTGGAAGATGGATTTTACTCATATATAATGTTTATTTTGTAGATTTGAATGCACTTCCGTGTTATAAATATGAGCGATTAGTTGATGCACCTACAGAAGATAATGATGATGGTTCTAGAAGTTTACTTGTTACAAATCAACCAGTTGTTACAACTTTACCTGATATTTCTGATTTATCAGAACATAGACTAGGTAAAAATATACTATTCACGGAGAGAGAAGTTAAACATACAAGAGCTAAATCTGCCTATTGCGGGTCTTTTCTTTTGGCCTGAAATATTATCTAAATTATTAATTAGACATTAATTAAATTATCTAGACCATAATCAACTCTCGATGGCATCACTGCTCAACGCTCATTGATAATTAAATGCAATCGAGACTGTGCTATTTTATCGTACCAACTTCAGTAAGGATGATCACGGCTAGGCTAGGCCTCAGAGTGAAGCAATTTGACTGAAATTTTCAGCATTTTCTTTTTACATTATCTATTATAGTGAGAACTACCAGGTCTTTATCTAATCTTCGAAAATGCCCTTTTAAGCTATCTTCAGTGATGTACAAATGTACTCCAAATGCTAAGTCTGTTATCAATACACTTGTGAATTCATCAAATGCCTTTTTTAATCTTGTGGGTTTTCTCTCAGTTGTTGTCTGGCTTTAGTTTAGGCCCACTGATGGAGACCACTGTGCAGAAGTAAAATAATTAAAGACAATATATATATATATATATTTCCCCTAAAATATACTATTTTATGTCCCTTTTTACTGGTCTCATGTCAAAATTACCTGGCAGCAGTAGCACTTCAAACTGATCAACCGTAAATATTTGCTTGGATGCTACTATCACTATAAAAGGGACAAAAAATAGTATGCAAAGGCACCAATTCTGCCCAGATGGGTTTGTATTACTACGTCCGATGTAAACAATGCATGTGCTATTGAGGCCATATGATGTGACGTCACACATTGACGTGTAATACACTTGAGAAACAGAAATGGAGTTTATCGTCTACTCGACAAAACTAGGTCATGTTGGGACTAACATATGGTTCAGACTAGTTTTCACTTGACTTTTGTATTGACAGATGTCATGCACAAGTCAAGGGATGCTTACTCTTTTTGAAAACCTGATATCTCTTCTCATGCTGTAATCAGCTGATTTCAACTCAGAGCATGGTATAACTATATATTGCTACTTGAAGTATAATTGTTTGTTTCAGTGTTAGGACCAAGATATATAGGTTCAGATTTTGAAATATGGCCTGTTGGTCCAATACCAAAACATACATCAGGAGTTCAAGGTATGTAAACCTGTCACAATTTATTTTTTTAAGTTTCATTACTATTACTATTGAATTCTATATTAGTTCTAACCCAACCAAAATACAACTTATTAGACCTAATGTATTAAAGATGCTTTATGTAAGAGCTAAATCTGCCTACTGTAGGTCTTAATTTTGGCCTCAAATGTTCTATAAACTATTTAGAAATTTATTAACATGACAAGACCATGATCAACTCTCTATACCATTGGATGGTTGTGATTTTGAACAGATTAAAACACGATCTCCATTTCATAATTTGGCAGAGATTTAAAGAGATTGAAATATGATCGCTCATTTAATGATTTCATTTAAAACAAGTGAAACGAGGCTGGGTATAGATTAACAAGTAACGTTGCTACAATAATCAACAATCTGCACTCAGAACATAGCCAATTTAAGGAAATTTTCAATATATTCATTTTTCATCATCTATTTTTATACGCCCACATATTCATGTGGACAGATTATGCCGTCGCCCCTGTCCGTCCGGACATCCGTCCACAATTTCTTTGTGGACACTCTACAGGTCACAATTTTGATCCTATTTTGACGAAACTTGAATTATAGGTTTATCTCTCAAAGATTTTGGTTCCTATCAATATTGGCATGTATCGGATCATAACTTCATGGATTATGGCCCCTGATTGTACACCAAATCGCATTTTTAGCTTGTGGACACTCTAGAGGTCACAATTTTCATTTGGTTTTGAAGAAACTTGAAATGCAGGTTTATAATCCAAAGATTATGGTTCCTTCTGATATTTGGGCATATCGAACTGTAATGTCCTGGATTGTGACCTCTGTTTGTACCAAAAATCACGTTTTTAGCATGTGGACCCTCTAGAGGTCACAATTTTTATCCAATTTTTAAAAAACATTAAATATATCACTGTTACACCCTAATGATGGTTGAGTGCCAATTTCATGAAAATCGGATCAAAACTGGCTGACAAAATGGCGGCTCCTTTTACACAAATAATGTAAAAATATGTCTTACCAAGGTTTTGGACCCTCAGATTTTGATGAAACTTAAAACATATATCCCAAAGATCTCAGTCCTTTTCGATATTTTCACATTGCAGACCGTAACTTTCTGGATTATTGCCCCTGATTGTACAAAAAATCAGTTTTGTTTTTAGCTTGTTCTCTATCCATCTCTTGCAAAATGTGGGCGTATCCTGCCTGGCAACCGCTGGTTGAACTATTATAGCATAAATCTTACCTAAGGCATCTTTAAATTTTATTGATGACAGTTAAAATTAAGTACATGTCCCGATTTGTTAGACTGTCAAAAGTTCTTACATTTACATGTAATGTCGTTGGTTGATTTTGTACAACCGCCCGACAAACATCCAGTCACTGATTGCCAGTCATTACTTCTATTAATAGGTAAAGTGTTTGTGATGTTAATCATTATTTTAAAAGATTCCACTGAATGTCTGCTTCCGGAGTCCATTCGTTTGAAAAACAAGAAAAACTGATCAATGAAATACATTGTTAACCCATAGACTTCCAGTAACTTTGTATCAGACTCAATGATGGGCTCCCCAGATTAAAGGGAGATAAATCCAATATTGAACAAGATTATTTGCCTATATTTCTAGCATGTTACTTTCTAGTTTACAATATGCATGTATATCTGATGGCATAGTCGTATATCGATTTCCAACTGCCAAGGGATCTTTTACGTGCACATCAATGTGTACACAGGACCTCAGGTTTTCGTCCCATCCGAACAACTATACACATCCCTTGCCAGGCACTCCATTCTGCACCACTGACCAAAATCCTCATGAACATTCTCGGTCAATGCAGGGATTAAACTTGGGACCTCCAGGTTAGCGACCCAACATCCTACCCACCGGAGGATCACATGGCTAAGTGGGTAAGATGCTGGCTTGCTAGCCTGGAGGTCAGGTGTTCGATCCCTGCATTGGCCGAGAAAGTTCATCCAGATTTTCCGGCGGGGTTCCCCCTTGTCAGTGATACAGGACGGAGGGTCTGACAAGCACAGCTGTCTAGTCCTTCAGATGATACGAAAAACCGAGGTCCTGTGTATACATTGGAATGCACATAAAAGATCCCTTGGCAGTTGGAATTCGATATAAGAGTAGGCGATAGTGCCGCTGCCCGGGCAAAATTTCCCTCATAGCACACTGTATGGCGTATACAGGTTCATTAGCCCAGTTCAGAGCAGAACAGTAGGACGTTAAACCCCATTTCATTTCATTTCATTTCCTACCCACCGATCCACCGTGGCTGCAGATGATTTTGTAATGTTGACTTCATTTCAGTGTTGGGTATTGGTGGTGGTAGACAGTTTTTAGGATTTATTTCGAGGGCAATGTACCTCAGGGTAAGTTTATTTATACTATATATAGTATATACAAGGCGGGAAAACTGCACAACAAAAACCAGACAATTCAAACGTCAGAACATGTCTTTTCCCTAGAAGGTATATTTTTTGTGTCATGTCATAAATTACAGTATAACAGTGGTTCTCAACCATTTTTTGGCAACGGCAAACCTTGGAACACATGAACAAATAGCGGCACACCTGGCTAAATATGAAAAATATTTGAATTTTGCAAAATAAAAACATGGAAAGTCATAGATGGTATACAATCGTAGACATAGACTAGTCACAGACACATAGAACGACTCAAACTAAATAAACACAGCTATGAACTTACTTCATTGCAGTCTTTCGAATTTCATCCATCAAATAGCTGGCTTCTTTAGTGAGAAATTTCGTGGCACACTTAGGAAGGTCTGGCTGCACACTGGTTGAGAATCACTGCAGTGCAGTGACAAAGGGTTTCAGACGAAGTTTCTTAGTGAAAATATTTTTTTTTTATGTTTGAAGGTTTACCATGTGAAAGGTCGATTTGGTTGGGCAACTGATAATTTCTCTCCTAAAGGAAGAATAATAGAACGAACAACTTTTCGTAAGTTTCCATCATATTTTTTCCACTTTTCAGCTTAATTTTCTATGGTGCAAGATTGAAAATAAGTCACATGTTGCAGACAATGCCAGTCTTTTTCAGACAAATCTCTTTGGTGTCTGAGGGTGTTGGATGGCTGAATGGTTAACGCTTGCGCGTTGTGTCATAAAGTCTGTCATTGAGTCAACTGGCGTGATTTCGATTCCCCGGTTGTATGTGACAAGGAGTAGGGTTGCCTGTCCAACCTCATGGGTTTTCTCCTCATCCTCTGGTTTCCTCACACTACTAAAGACCCCTACGCGCAATGAAATTATTGAAGTAAAATTGAACCACGTGTTCGTCCTGAAATGACCTAGTTTGTGTCAAGTGGACATTAAACCCCATTTCACTCTCTCTTTCTCTCTCCTTGGTGTCTGTTTTTTCGTCCTGCTCAGATTTGTTCTGGTAATTGTTGTTTCCAGGCCTGCTGTGTCAATTGTCAGATTTTTTATGACTAAAAACAATGCTCAATCAACTCGGACATGAGGGCTTAATTTTGTTTGAGAGAGAGAGAGAGAAAAATGGGGTTTAATGTCCACTCGACACAAACTAGGTCATTTCGGGACTAACATATGGTTTAATTTTATTTCAATAATTTGCTTGCGCATAGGGGTCTTTAGCAGTGGGAAATTTTTTTTGAAATTGAACTGAAAGTATATAGATCTGAGGTGTTTGAGACTCACAAAGGATATGTATTATAGAAATTACTATAGATGATATGTATTATAGAAATTACTGTAGAGGATATATAATATAGAAATTACTATAGAGAATATGTATTATAGAAATTACTATAGAGGATATATAATATAGAAATTACTATAGAGAATATGTATTATAGAAATTACTGTAGATGATATGTATTATAGAAATTACTGTAGAGGATATATAATATAGAAATTACTATAGAGAATATGTATTATAGAAATTACTATAGAGGATATATAATATAGAAATTACTATAGAGAATATGTATTATAGAAATTACTGTAGATGATATGTATTATAGAAATTACTGTAGAGGATATATAATATAGAAATTACTATAGAGAATATGTATTATAGAAATTACTATAGAGGATATATAATATAGAAATTACTATAGAGAATATGTATTATAGAAATTACTGTAGATGATATGTATTATAGAAATTACTGTAGAGGATATATAATATAGAAATTATTGTAGAGGATATATAATATAGAAATTACTGAAGATGATATGTATTATAGAAATTACTATAGAGAATATGTATTATAGAAATTACTATAGAGAATATGTATTATAGAAATTACTGTAGATGATATGTATTATAGAAATTACTGTAGAGGATATATAATATAGAAATTACTATAGAGAATATGTATTATAGAAATTACTATAGAGGATATATAATATAGAAATTACTATAGAGAATATGTATTATAGAAATTACTGTAGATGATATGTATTAATTACTATAGAGAATATGTATTATAGAAATTACTGTAGATGATATGTATTATAGAAATTACTGTAGAGGATATATAATATAGAAATTATTGTAGAGGATATATAATATAGAAATTACTATAGAGGATATATAATATAGAAATTACTGAAGATGATATGTATTATAGAAATTACTATAGAGAATATGTATTATAGAAATTACTGTAGATGATATGTATTATAGAAATTACTATAGAGAATATGTATTATAGAAATTACTATAGAGGATATATAATATAGAAATTACTATAGAGAATATGTATTATAGAAATTACTGTAGATGATATGTATTAATTACTATAGAGAATATGTATTATAGAAATTACTGTAGATGATATGTATTATAGAAATTACTGTAGAGGATATATAATATAGAAATTATTGTAGAGGATATATAATATAGAAATTACTGAAGATGATATGTATTATAGAAATTACTATAGAGAATATGTATTATCGAAATTACTATAGAGAATATGTATTATAGAAATTACTGTAGATGATATGTATTATAGAAATTACTATAGAGAATATGTATTATAGAAATTACTATAGAGGATATGTATTATAGAAATTACTGTAGATGATATGTATTATAGAAATTTCTGTAGAGGATATATATTATAGAAATTACTGTAGAGGATATGTATTATAGAAATTACTGAAGAAATCTAACATGAAGTTGTAAATAGATGTTTAATTAATGTTAATTACCTGTATTTTCAGATCATATAACAAAACCTAAATTAGACAGAATGTGTTCCATAGCACAAGCTAATCACACCAAGCTTATGTTTAAGTATGTTTTTATTTTTATGTGACCTTGCTTGTTAGTACGTGCACACATTATGGGGGGATTTCATGGCCGAATGGTTGTATCATAAGGTCTGTCATTGAGTCAACTGGCGTGGTTTCGATTCCCCGGTTGTACAGGATAAGGAGTAGGAGGGTCACCTGTCCAACCTCGTGGGTTTTCTCCAGGTCCTCCGGTTTCCTCCCACTGTTAAAGACCCCTACGCGCAAGCATATTATTGAAATAAAATAGAACCATGTGTTAGTCCTGAAATAACCTAGTTTGTGTGGAGTTGAGATTAAACACTCTCTCTCTCTCTCCCCCCTCTCACTCTCTCTCTCTCTCTCTCCCAATGTGGCAATTAATTATACTATTCTGTTTTGCCACACATTCACAAAAATACATTGGGGTTTCTGTGGTTTCAGCAAGTCTTTAAGTATATGCTAAGAATAAAGTGTGTTTTTATTTTTATAGATATGCAGGAGTACATGAAGATAGCCAAGAAGCATATGAATATGCATGTAAAGGATTAGTTCGTCCAGCTAATAAAGATATGTCTCCTATGTTGTATGGTGTTAAATGTATAGATTATAAATTACCAGATTTTACTCTAGGTAACTTTCTTTCTTTATTATACACCCATATTATCATGTGGACGTATATTGTCGTCGCCCCAGGACATCAGTCCACAATTTGTTTGTGGACACTCTACAGGTCACAATTTTTATCCAATTTTTTCAAAACTTGAAATATATGTCTATCAGATACTCTATCTTCCAAAGATCTCGGTTCCTTTCGATATTTGCATATATCAGATGGTAACTTCATGGATAATAGACCCTGATTGTATGAAAAATCACGTTTTTAGCTTGTGGACACTCTCAAGGTCACAATTTTCATCCAATTTTGATGAAACTTGAAATGCTTGTTCATAACCCAAAGTATGTAATACAAAGTTTGTGGACCCTCTAGAGGTCACAATTTTCATCCGATTTTGATGAAACTTGAAATGTTTGTTTATAACCCAAAGTATGTAATACCAAGGTTGTGGAGTCCACAATGTGGACCCTATAGAGGTCACAATTTGTATCTGATTTTGATGAAACTTGAAATGTTTTTAGTGCATTTTGGGGTTGGAAGTTGGGGTGGCCTGGGTGTATGTAATTCCTCAAAAGTTTATTTGCCATCAGTTAGATAAAAAAAAAATCCCTCCATTATCCAAATGCTGTACGAAGGTAGCTAAATATAAAAAATATTAGCCTATAATATTCTATTCTAGAAAATGTTTTTCTAGGCCTTAAACGAAATTTGAGTGTCACAGTTTATTTTTAAGTTTGATTCCTATTTAATTCTATACTAGTTCTCACCCAACCAAAATACAACTCATTAGACCTAATTTATTAAACATGCATTATGTAAGAGCTAAATCTGCCTATTGCAGGTTTTTGTTTTGGCTTCAGATGTTTTATAAATTAATATTTAGATATTTATTCACATGACAAGCCTATAATAATCAACTCTCTAGACCATCAGATGGCACAGATGTAAAGGGATTAAAATACAATTGCCATTTGATGATTGAATTTAAAAATGGAGAAGCGAGGCTGAATCTCGATTAACAAGTAGCATTGCCACGATAATAAACAATCTATGTCAAAACTTCAAACTGTGATAATTTCGCTCAGAATAAAGTAATTTGAATGAAATTTTCAATATATACATTTTGAATCACCTATTTTTGAGCTATTATAGCAAGAATGGTCAGCTCTTTATCTAAATCTTACATAATGTATCTTTAAAGTTACAATTTCATATTTTCTAAGAAAGTCAAAACATAATTATTTCTATGTCTTTTGCTCAATAGGTTGTCAACTCACTATTATACGATCATAGGTGTCATTCTCACACTTAAAACTCATTTACACCGGAAATAATAACACAATTACCTCCCTTGTTTTCTATTCTCCACCATGGAGTAGTTATCCTCAAACGTTCTAATTTGAAGAGGAAAATGATATTTTTGCCAATTTCTCAACTGGCAATAGTGAATTATAGGATTATTCTTTAACAAGGTAGGGAGAGAGAGAGAGAGAAATGGGGTTTAAAGTCCACTCGACACAAACTAGGTCATTTCGGGACTAACATGGTTTTTTAAAATTTTATTTCAATAATTCGCTTGCGCGTAGGGGTCTTTAGCAGTGGGAGGAAACCGGAGGACCCGGAGAAAACCCACGAGGTTGGACAGGCGACCCTACTCCTTGTCACGTACAACCGGGGATTCGAAACCACGCCAGTTGACCCAATGACAGACTTTATGAAACAGCGCGCGCACGCTAACCATTCAGCCATCCAACCCCCCTAACAAGGTACGACTGTTTATAGATACCATCTATTTTAAGGCTTTATTTTAATAAATTTTAAAAATATGAAATTGCAACTTTAATTAACCTATTTTTTTTTCAGAAATTCATGCGATCAACGAAACTAGCACCTACTTCAAAACTTTGATCCACGATATTGGACTTAAATTAAAATCAACAGCAGTGTGTACGGACATCCGGAGATTACGTTATGGACATTTTACATTAGATCACGCTTTGCTACAGAAACACTGGGCGTTAGAGAACATCTTAGACAACATGAGAATGTGTCATAAAGAATTACATCCAGATAAATTACTGATTGGTGCAAATATCGACCAAATTGAAAAGGACAAATTATTAGAAAGTGAAAAACATCAAAAATATTTAACTTCATCTGTGAATAAATAATGTATATTTAATTTTCTATCTTGAGAGTCTGCCGTGCAATCTGGTTAAAACAAAGATCCTACTTCGTTTCGTTTTTTATAGTTCAAAATTTCGTTTTACTTGTCTTTACTACACTAGGATCTGGAAGAGTTGTTATATTACCTGCGTACTGGTTGAAGTGAGGGATTAGCCAATGAAACGGTCTGTTGAAGTGAGTTCTAGGCGTGCAATGCATGAAACTTTGGATATCCTACTAGAAATATCAACGCTGATTGGTTAATTAAGTGTCTGACATCATAGGGTCAAACGCTGCTCGTGTAACCTCTGACGCGACCTCCTACTACGACTGGTCAGATCTTCATGTAGTAGAGGTCATCAGGAGTATAAAATAAAACGAAACGAAATATAGTTCTGTATTTTAATCAGATTTTCTAAGTCTAAGCCAGGTTTTAGACTGAGGTCTCGTGTACACATTGGTGTGCACGTAAAAGATTCCTTGACAGTTGGAATTCGATATACGAGTTGTCTGTAGTGCTGTTGTCCGGGCAAAATTTCCCTCATAGCACACTGTATGGGGTATGTCCGTCTTCATTAGCCCAGTTCGGAGCAGAACAGTAGGACGTTAAACCCTATTTCATTTCATTTCATATACATGTAACTTATTGAAAATATTCAAATTTTAATTATTTTTTTTTTTAGGAAAGTAAGTAATATGTTTTAAACCATATTTTATTGAGATAAGATTTATTATTTTGCATCTAAAATAATTTTGAACAAATCTTTGGATTTAATCACAGTGTATTGTCATAGAGCCATGGTGGCTAAGTGAGTAAGATGCTGGCTCGCTAGCCTGAAGGTTACGGGTTTGATCCCGGTTTGGGCTGAGAAAGCTCATCTTGTTTTTCCAGCGTGGTTTACCCTTGTCAGTGGTGCAGGATGGACAGCTCAACGAGGGCAGTTGTCTAGCCGTGTGGATGGGACGAAAAACTGAGGTCCCATGTACACATTGGTGTGCATGTAAAAGATCCTTTGACAGTTGGAATTCGATATATGAGTAGCCCGTAGTGGAGGGCCCCAAGAAAACCCATGTGGTTGGACAGGCTACTACCCCCTGTCACACACTACTGGGGAATCGAAACATTCTGCCATCGAAAAAAGAAATAAAGAAATGAACAAACATGGTCAATCATTCCTCTGCTCTATGTGAAAACAAGAAACCAAATATAAACCTCACTCAAATTATGTGTACAAGAAACTGAGACAAACCAAGTATGAGTCAACTTGCAACACCAGGGTCCTGTTTCATGAAATTTTAACTAGTAATTTGATTGGATAATATTAGACTGATTTTAGTGCTTAGCCAATCAAAATAGAGGTATCTACTAAAATTTAGATTTTATCTTTAGTTAAAATTCCGTGAAACAGGGCCCAGTACTATTATTTATTTATTGTCTGTCTGTCTGTACCTCCCTCCGTCTGTCTGTCTGTCTGCCCGTCTGTCACACTTTTTGGGACACAATAACTCTCATTCTAATTGAGCTAGAATGTTCAAACTTGGTGTGGGTGTTTATTAGGTCAATGCCTTGATGGTGTTCGAAGATGAGCATTTTCTGCTTAGGGTAAGCAGAGATAAGCAATTTGATTGGCCCAGACTTTGGGGCTCGATAACTTTGATTCTAAGAAAGTGAGAGTGGTGAAACTTTGCGTATAGTTTGCAGTCTGATTGGGACCACAATAACTCTCCTTCTAAATGAGCTAGAATGTTCAATATTGGTGTAGGTGTTTATTAGGTGAATGCCTTGACAGAGTTTGATCATGCAAATTTTCCACTAAGGCTAAGCTGAGATAAGCATTTTGATTCGTTGAGATTTTGGAACACAATAGCTTTGGTTCTAATTGGGTGAGAGTGATGAAACTCAAAGAGTATAGATTCATTATATCAATACCTTGACCGATTTCAATTATGAGGCTAAGGAGCAATAAGCAATTTAATTGATCAAGACATTGGAACATAACAACTCTGCTTTTAGTCGAGGTAGAATGTTTAAACTTGGTATAGCCGTTTTCATTAGCCCAGTTGGAGCAGAACACTAGGACGTTAAACCAAATGTCATTTTAAACTTGGTGTAGGTTTCATTAGGTGAATGTCTTCACTGAGTTCAATGATTAACATTTCCCACTAAAGCTAAGCAGTTTCATTGGTCGATGCTTTGGGACAAGATAATTTTGATTCTAACTGATTGAGAGTGATGAAACTTAGTGTAGAGTTTCACTACCAGGTACTGCTCGATACTTTTCAAAAAGATAAATGTGCAATTAATTAATATGTATTTATTTTGGGATTGCAGCGGGGGACATCAGCCTCACTGTTGGCTTGTTTTATACAGGATCATTTTATTATTTTTTTTTAATGTTGATAACATACATTGTAACATGGATGGGAAATCTTTCTTTGTTCTTTTCGTTGAATAAGCAGATTGTTTTCCCTCTAGTAGATTGGGTGGAGCTTAACCGTGCAATAACTAGACATGTTCAATGCTATTGCACTCTGTTGCTGGTTTACACTAGTTTTAGTAGAAATCATATAGAGATAGAGAAGTGGAGTGGGTTTTCTGTGCAATAACAATAAGCATGTTGAGCAGTTGTCAATGTTACAAGTCATTTATAGCACGCTTCATTCATTAACAGGTTTAACCCCTCATGAAAGCTGTGCTATAAATATAACTTACGTACTGTCAGGTAAAGGGGCAGTGGTTTGAACACCCACCTTCCAGCCCCAGGAAAAGTGAAATTCAGGGGCAAAGAAATTAAAAGGTGGGCTGACCCCCTGGTTTACCTCTTTAAAAAAGTTATATTTTCTGTTCCTCTAAGGTGGGGGGGGGGGGGTGATGGATGCCCGAATGGTTAGCACATGTGCATTATAAGATCTGTCATTGAGTCAACTGGCGTGGTTTCGATTCCCGGATGTACGTGACAAGGAGTAGGGTCGCCTGTCCAGCCTCATGGGTTTTCTCCGGGTTCTCCAGTTTCCTCCCACTGCTAAAGACCCCTACGCGCAAGTGAATTATTGAAATAAAGTTGAACCATATGTTAGTCCTGAAAAGACCTAGTTTGTGTCAGGTGGAGGTTAAACCCTCCCTCTCCCCTCCCGTAAAAATAATAGGAGATAAACAAATAAAGAAGCAGTTTTTTTCAATCCTTGTAAATAAATTCGAATCAGTGAAAGATATATTTCCAAAAACTCAGGTAAATGGTCTAGTCTGTTTATAATTTCTTAACTTAGCCGCATTTCCTTTAAATAATAGGGGAGCCACGGTGGCTAGGTGGATAAGACGCTGGCTCGCTAGCCTGGAGGTCGGGTGTTCGATCCCTGCATTGGCCGAGAAAGTTCATCCTGATTTTCCGACGTGGTTTCCCCTTGTCAGTGGTGCAGAACGGAGGGCCTGACAAGGACAGCTGTCTAGTCATTCGGATGAGACGAAAAACCGAGGTCCCGTGTATACATTAGAATGCATGTAAAAGATCCCTTGGCAGTTGGAATTTGATATAAGAGTAGGCGATAGTGCCGCTGCCCGGGCAAAATTTCCCTCATAGCACACTGTATGGCGTATGCCCGTCTTCATTAGCCCAGTATAGGAGCAGAACAGTAGGACATAAAACCCATTTCATTTCAATTCATTTTAAATAATAGACGGGACGTGATAATTAAAGATATGATTAATGAAGCACACCGTTCACTGCAAGAGTTATTTCCCTTCAGTCGTTTGATGAACGAACGAAGCAGGTGTGAGTTAACGATCTCGTCAATACTACACGTTTACAATTTACTCACTCGTGTTGATTGTATCATGCACGTTATGTTGCAACCAATACGAGTGTGCGTGCGTTATCTGCAAGAAAATAAACGCGTCCCTATGGCTGACCTAATGTATAAATTATCTGTCTTTATCTAGCATCCCTTATTTACGTGGACATCTAAACAATGCTTGAAGGTATCAATTACTAGTGTCAAATAACAATGCCCGAAGAATGCTGGGCATGTACATAGATATGAATGGGTCACGTGACTCTTATTTGAGGGCAGTAGTATTTGTCGTCGAATCGGGGATGACGCCTGTCGTGTATCACTGCCAAAACTTTGTGGACTTAGGAATCGTTATGTTTACCTTTTGTCAACCTTGAAAAAGAAACAAATATGAAGCTGGATTTACCCGTTGTTACCTGGTCAGGTAAGGCATATCACCTGTTTATTTTAATGAGTTTCCGTAAGTCAACCGACGACAAGGTATTACCCCGGAATTCCCTACTCAATAGAGGAAATATGGCGTCCGCATCTATATATAATATTGTGTATCATAATTCATAAATATAGGTGTTCCTCAAATGATCGACTCTTAATTAAAGGTGTGAAAAGACAGGTGTTTGGCGAACGACTGTATATTGTTTATTGAGAATGATGAATGCGTCAATAAGCAATAACGATGTGTCAAATTCACCGTCAACATTAACTTGTTTGTAAGATTTTCGTGATTTACATAACCGTATTCAACACTATCAGATGGTTGTAAGGCATGACATAGGCCTATATATTTATTACAATGTCCGGCTGTGTCAAGTTTACCGGGTTTACATGAACTTATAGTCCTCCTCAATGAGAACTGAATGACAGATATAAATATCATAATATACCACAATATTTAAATGTAAAATATTTTATGCATTATTCATTGAATAGTGTATATTTTATACCACAATATTTAAATGTAAAATATTTTATGCATTATTCATTGAATAGTGTATATTTTATTGACAATACAAATCATATTTTTTAAAGGATGTTTTAAATAAATTTTTCAAGCGACAATTCTAGTTGGAATAAAACAGAATTTATAATCTATAGTTATAATTTATAGTTCCAGGAATTTCTGTTAAACCCAGAATCAGATTGGGTCGTTAATTTTTTTTTTCTTTTCACCAAAGACAATTAGAATCAATGTGTAGATAAAAAAAAAAAAAATAAAAAAATAAACCAGCTCATGAACTTTTTTTTTTAGAGTCCTCCCACACCCACTTCCCCTCTCCCAGGTGGATCTATCTTCAAATATTATTTTTATGACTCAGAATCTAATAGTTCTTGTATTTTCATGTTTTAACATGTAAGATCAGACTGTTACAAATACATATTAGGTCATTTTATGATATTTTTGCTCAGTGAGTAAGCTCATTGATACAACATCTATGTAATGATATAACAATCTGATTAGAACACAGATCTATATTTCATTTCATTTTTTTATATTTTTGATGGCCTACACTACATGAAGATCTGACCAGTTGTACTGAGAGGTCGCATCAGGGGTCATATGAGCGGCTTTTGACCCTATGATGTCAAACATTGATTAATCAATCAGCGTTGACATTTCTAGGGGTTTACCCACGCTTCCAAGCAGAGTACGCCAAGAACTCGTCGTAACAGACTGTTTCATTAGCTAATTCCTCACATCAACTAGAATGTCTGTTATATAACAACTTTTCCAGATCCTAGTGTAGTAAGGATAAGTAAAACGAAATTTTGAACTATAAAAAAAAAAACGAAATAGGATCTGTGTTTTGATCTGATTGATGATATGTCGTACAGGATATACATGTATGGCTTCTGATTATTAAAAATAAAACCATTTTAGGATGGGGAATCCACAGAATTTTTATTAATAGGACTCAGTTTAATAATAATAATAATAATAATGCTTTATTACACAACTACATGGTATATACACGAGTATGGTAAAGCATACAATACAAATTACAATACAATAATAAACATCAAAGAACATAGAGAATAAGCAGGTTTACAGAGGTTTCTAAAAGTATATTAAATTATATTACTAATGCTTGTAAAGGATATTATATGAGTCCAGAATTAAAGCATATTTTTTAAATGTATAGGATGGGCTTGGGACTAATTACAACTGAAAATGAAACTGGCAAATAAATGAGAGATGGTATCAGATGGTCTGGGAATTGGAGGTGTGACCTTACAACATGTTGGTTCTATATAAAGGGGGGTCAACATGACTGCCAACAGTAAAGTCTTTATTTCCAATAGAGGACTCGCTACATGTATAAATGTATGTTTATCAGTGAAGCCCATAGTGTTACAGAGAAGTCTTTCTGTTGTATACATAGGGGACTCCATGAGTATATATATATATATATATATATATATATATATATATATATATATATATATATATATATATATCAATAAACCCTAGTGTTATAGTGAGCCTTTCAGTTCAATATATAAATATACATCAAGGCGACTTGCTATTGTATAAAGGGTATTGGATGGCCGAATGGTTAGCGCATTGGTGTTGTATTATTAGGTCTGTCATTGCGATTCTCTGCTTGTACGTGACACGGAGTAGGGTCGCCTGTCCAACCTCATGGGTTTTCTCTGGGTCCTCCGGTTTCCTCCCACAGCTAAAAAAAATCCTACGCAGAAGCAAATTATTGAAATAAAATTGAAACCATATGTTAGTCCTGATTTGAACTAGTTTGTGACCAGTGGAGTTAAACTATCTCTCTCTCTGTCTCTCTCTCGGAGCATACAGTATATTCATAGATATGCATATCATAACTTATATATGTGACCCATGTTGGCAAAATGATTTGAAATGCTCAAAATGTAATAATGACACCACGTGACAACTTGCAAAATTCTATTACATTTGTGTAAACCAATATAAGACAAAGTTTAGTTGAAAGTTCTCACATCGCACACCTATATAGACAGATTGATCAAGGCTACAGTCAGGAAGTTCTTTCCATCTGCTCCTGACAAGGGGGTGGATGACCAAATGGTTAGTGCATGCACGCTGTATCATAAGGTCTGTCATTGAGTCAACTGGCATGGTTTTGATTCCCTGGTTGTACGTGACAAGAAATCAGATCACCTATCCAACCTCGTGGGTTTTCACCGGGTCCTTCGGTTTCCTCCCACTTTAATTAATCATTACCATAAATGTGCTAATTAGGCTACTCAGATTATGAACCACATGACCGATTCTCACTAAGGTATGACTGTTGTTGTACATGTAGCCGACAAGCAACGTTGATTGACTTCTTAATTAATTAGTAATAATTAACCCATTGTAATTTAGCCGAAAGTAGATTGATTTATGATACCATAGTGGCCAGTTCATTGTTTTAACATTCGGTTTGATTGAACTTCAAGCAGCTAAAACCGACAAAAAACAGCCGATTAAGATGCCAGGTGTAAAGGTCGTTGTGATCATATTGAAAGTAAAAACTTGTAAAGTTATTATGACTCACTTTTAAACATGTATATATACAGAAATATTTTCAATATAAATATTGCCTGAAGTTATTTTAAATAAATGAGTTTAATGCATGATTTAACAGTAAGGAATTGTCATGACAACCATTTATAGTGACAGGAGATGGTCGTCAATCACATATCAACCGGAATACGGAAAAACTATTTCAAGGGATTGTAGATGGGTCATTTCTTGTAAAATAAACCATGGATTGACCCTTTGTTAGAACGATATGATCCAGATTTTGATAGATATTCATAAATATACTTTTATGAATGATATATACTTGGTAACCCATACTATAATATTTCATTAGGGATTAACTCGTCCGGATATTAATTATCGTTTTAAAGCCCTTCCTTCGATTTTATATGTTTATTTGTCATTTTTCTGGGATGATGCATTATAATTATAATTTCTCAATTCAATCAAATGATGTGATATAAAGCCAGCACTAAAGTTTACAAAACAAGCAGACATCTTCTTAATCTTTTTCAATACAAAATTTGATAGGGCTTCATCCTTCTTTAATCAAAATAACAGGTAAATTCAATCCAATTGGATACATTATTTTTTACTTAAATCAGAAAGTTTTACATGTATAAATATTTGTCAGTCCCATATTGACACTTCAGAGACTACAATGTTTTTGGAATTTTGGCCAAATCAAATTTTTGATTTTGTGGAAAGGTTGGACAAAGAAGATTTGTGAAGTATAAAAATAGTTTAGTTCATCGTTTCTTGGAATAAAAAATTGAGATAATTTCCCATACAACCACTAGTCATTTTAACCACCTTGTTACAAAAATAGAATTGGGAACTGATGTTTTTTGTAATTACATCATTATCATTAAAACTTTATTTAAAAGAGGAAAACATATTTAGTCAAAACTAATCTTTCATGTTGTTTTCCTCCGCAAACACAGTACATGTACATGAAACAGTTAAAATTATAACATACCCGTGCATGTATATACATTTCGTAATAAGTGAGGCAGAAAGACAGGAAATATTTTCTATTTTTTATACAATTTAAGTTGTAATCAGCTTACATTTCATAAAAACAGATATAAAGATAAATTACATATTGTGAATATATTGACACAGTATATAACTGTCAATACTTTAATAGGATTTTAATATTCAGGAAGATGAATTTGATAATGATGCAACTTTGATGAAATACTGTCATCGTATCTGTTACATGTATATGTATGAGAATTAACCAATAACTTAAGATCAAAATATGATCGATGGATGAAAAGCAAGGCACGCAAGCATGTTTACATTGTCACAAAAATTAAAAATTCTAATTGATGTTTTCAAAAAATTATTATATGTAGATTGTAAATAACATTTTAAAACATAGATTTTTTTTTTTAAAAATTGATTGATCATAAATTTATAACTCAGGAAATAATATAATAAAATAAATGTCATTTTGAAAACAAAAACGGCAAAAACATTTGTTCTAAATGAGAATAAAATGTATAAAGAAAATGAAATTGTATGCCTACATAAAATCATGTTTACAAAGGAGGGATTTCACACAAAAAATTTATAACTAAAATTGTTAAACTGTATCTATACATGTAGTTTGATTAAAGATGCATTATGTAAGATTTAGATAAAGAGCTGATCATTCTTGCTATAATAGCTCAAACATAGATAATGTAAAATGAAAAATATTGTAAATTTCCATTAAAATTACTTTATTCTGAACCAAGTTATCACTGTTTGTAGTTTTGACAAGATGTGTGCATTGTGGTAACCAGGACAATGGTATATTCGAGACTTAGCCTCGCTTTCCCATTTTTAAATTAAATCATCAAATGGCCAAACCATTCTAATCTAGTTGAAATCTTGAGTATCCAGTGTCATCGAGAGTT